ACATGCACCAATCCAACTGAGCGACTCGAAGACGCAGAGAGGGTCGCCAATAAGGGCGCCGGAGTCGGCACTGATCCCGCACAACACGGAGGTTGACTCTCCCTTACCGGAAAGTTCGTTGCCGTTGAGCCAGAGCTGTTCCAACTTGCCGAGACCTCCAAGCTCTCTCGGGATGGACCCTGCAACAATCGAAAGAGCCAAATGGTGATCTCGTTATTGTAGATCGCCGCTGGTGGGCGCGGCGTGGTGTAAAGGTATGATGCGGCCGGCTGGTCAACAAAACGGTCTGACCTACCGCGTGGGGGAGACACGAAAGGAATCAATCTTCGCACGCCATCCTGTCTCACCAGTGAGCTTGTTGTTGCTCATGTTTATCTTCTCCAGCTCGCTGAGAGCTCCAAGCGCCTCGGGAATGGACCCTGCACGAGACAAAAGCACAACGAGCCGCATTGCCTGGTCAAATTGCAAATGTAACGCAGGACATCATGTGTCGCCCACGCCTTGTGTGTACTGAACGGAGGTGCTCCACAACCTAGCCAAACTGTTTTCCAGAACCCAACACCAGCTATGAGACAACGCCTATTATTGTTTCCCTCAGAATCCAGGTCGATTCGGATCGCGACGAACACGATCAGCATATCGCCTGACACTTAGGTCCAGCATCCCGACCTCCCAAACGTCTCTCGCGATACAACCATCCGATCTTCTCACGGTCGTACCACTGGATAGGCTATGTTTCACGCCACAAGTGTTTCCCCCCTCAGCATTGGTGAGGCCATTCTCTTCAAGGGTATCGGTTCCGGTTCTAGGAGTACAGATGAAGGGCGCTACAAAGCGGTGCTCTAAATCACCCCATGTTTTACCTCTATCATATATTCGGGAATCGTGAGATTGATACCGTCCCGAAAGAAATGCTTGGAAGGTCATGGACGCTCGTGGAAGCTCATGCTAGCTAAACACGGGAGCAAAGGGCGTCAATTCGCATCAATCAACATAGGGAAGATCATCCAATGACAACTCGATGCCGACACCAAGCAGATGGCACAGCAAGGGCGAATTCACAACGCGGACTAGACATTGCAATACCGTGGAGGTTGTTGTTCGGCAGGAACAGCCCCACCACACGGCCCGCGTGGTTAAGTTCGACCCCCTCCCAAGTAGCTAGCCCCGCGTCCGTGTTCCAGTTGCTCTTCCTTTTCCAATTTGATCCATCAGTCGAATGAAACAACGCAATCAGTGCGGCACGATCCGTGGAAGGCATCTGCTCCGAGGGGCTGCTTCGGAATGCACGACGGAAAAAACGAACACGATCCATGGAAGACACCTTCTCCGAGGGGCTGCTTTGGATTGCGCGAGGGCAAAAAGGAGGATACCTGCGACGAGAGAGAGACAAAGGGACAAAACAGAAGACGCGAGTCACAGTGGCTGCAATTCCTGTGGCCTGACTTCCGGGATGCCAAATCGTATGGAGCTCGGTTACATGACAGCGGCTATGTTGCGACGAGGTTCAGCGGGAAAACTCGCTCAACCTTCTGGCTCTAGATCATGGGACCAAATCTGCCCGGAGTGACCAAACGTACAGCAACAAAAAAGTGAAAAGCGCATAGTAGCGAGTACATCAAACAATACGGGAGGGGCTGCTGAACCCTTCTCGCGTGATAAATGAAGTCAAGGGACACCGAAGGAGGAAAGATGAACATACAGACAACCTCGTGTGTGAGCCCGTCGGGTCCTCATGTAGATATACCGGATGGCTTGGACTGGCGCCCAGAAAAGATGGTACGAAACAAACCAACGCGAAGAACGCGGGGCATAATTCATTTGATATCTTCGGTGGATTCCTCTCAATCAGGCCGATGCAAGCTGCCTCCACAAGTTAGACCTCGAGATTAGGCCGCTAACGACCAGCAAATATCGGCATAACAACCAGCCCAAAAAACATTTTTTTTTCCTGACTCGGTGGCCGAAATTTTATTATCTTGGATTGAGACTGGGATTTAACAATCAAAGGTGCTGGCCCCAGGTGGAGAGTTAGCGCTTCAACCTTTACAACACCTGTCTACAGATCATACTCTATGAATCACCCGGTTTGGATTTTTTGTCCGCACCCCGCACGTTTTATACTGGATTTTAAAGGCCTTTGGCCAGGTTTCTCGTTTTTTCCCGTGGAGTTCGAAAAACTGAACCGGGTGATCGCTTCCTTTGGGTTTTGCGCACACACCGCAACAAACCGCATCCCGATCCTCGCTGTTGTGGTAGAGCCATTGTAAACGCCGCAAACTGCTCGTCTTGCGTGTTTTCGGCCATTGCGCGAGGTGCCGCGGCGGTCCGTCACCGACAAGGTTCGGTAACGGATGTGTAGCATTCGGCGGTGCCGCNGCAACAAACCGCCGCGGCGGTCCGTCACCGACAAGGTTCGGTAACGGATGTGTAGCATTCGGCGATGCCGTGACCGGACTTGTGGCAGGCGGAAATGCACAGAGGGTGAGCTGTACCCAGCTCGTGCATGTGGTGACAAAGAAGTCTCGGGCTTGTCCAAAATATTGTGACGTGTCCGCCCATCCTGCTGTTTTGATTGGTTGGAAAATATTTTTAAAAGTCTATTCGGCTAGCGACCAAGGACATTTTTTCGCCCTGAAAAACTTCTTATCTCGAGGTCTAACAGTGAGATTCCTCGTGCAAGACGACTTCAGTCAGGACAGGGGGTCGGATTCTCTTCGTACAAATGAGTGCCACGTCACGCAACAAATGGTTTCGGCCGGTTTCGCCACCATGCAGCACGAATCGATTTCAGCGTACTTCCAACATGGACTCGTCACCACAAAGTATGCACTTGTGGGTGTGCATTTGAGCAAACATGAACCAGGTACGTATTCTGTGCGATCACATGGGGCTGTGTAAGTGCACCTAAGGTTCGATGTTAATCGCGCATGTTCTTACGGGTGACCAATGGGCGCCTGGGGGTATGGTGGGTGTGGACCTTAGAACCTGATCATCTATTTGTTCCGTGCATTCGACTTTCACCACAAGACGGGTGTCGGAAGCATCGTAGCAGCAGGACAGAGGGAGATCTACCATCACGCTGCTGTTGTTGCTTGGCGTACGTACACGTAGATCGTCCGTTTGTGGACGTGTGGCCAATGGGGTGCCTTGCGTGTGGGTTTACAACCCGATTCCCATTTGTTCGTTGCGTGTGATCGACCATCACCACAACAATCTCACTTCCTTCGAAAACTTGCTAAATTATTGCGATGAAGTGTGCCCCACTTGGAGGCCGAGGGTACCTGACGCGTTTGCGTCGGTGATGGGGTTGAAACGCGGTAGCTATCATTTGGTGGGGTCAAGTGAGCATGCCAATTTCCAACGCTCCACCAAACCCACATTCTGAGCCCACTCGGCCTGTGGTGGGTGCACAACATTCTGCCACGCGCGGGCTCGCGCAAAAATCGGCTTGCCGAAATTGCACATCATGAGCGAAAGAAATGTTTCATGATCGAAAGAACCCTCTACCGCGTCGCGAAAGAAAGTTCTTCGCGTCATAGATGGGGTCTTATCGACTGCATCCTCTGCTGGTAATGCAGAAGCTGCACATACTCAAGCAGGGACTCACTCCCCGGAGTGTTTATCACAAAGTTAAGCATCATCGGCTGGGACCGAAGGCATCGTGTGGTGGTTGTGTGGTTTCCTCCCGTCCACTCTGTTGTGGCGCCAGTCTACGCCTTTCGGTACACCTGGTACATTTCACGCACAAGCCAGGGTCACACCGGAGGCAGGTAAACAAACGGATCTGTTTGTACTGCTGTTGCTCTGTATTCCCTCCGCGGTGCTTTCATCGGATTTCGGCCTGCAAATCATCACCATTTGAGCCCTTCTGAAACTCCACGACCCTGACACTCGTTGGGCGCTCTTGCAGTTCCAGCGCCACTCGCCGATAGGACGGGGTCCTCGATCCATACAAGCACACAACGGGTTCCTCGCTACAACCTACAGAAAGTGCGATGAGTGTATCCGTTAGGCAAGAATCGCCGCGCGATCCCTGCACCGGATAAACATATATGGTGTGAAAAATGCGCAACCTCGCCTACGCTACTGTTTAACAGCAGGTTGCGTCATGGGTTCGCATCTCTCTCGGGAGTGAAAAGATTGCAATTTCAGGTCGGAANGGTGCAGAGGGCTCGGGGTGGTGTTGTTTTGCGACTTTCCGGTAGGAACCAATTCTTTCCTTAGGGCCGATTTAGGGTCGTCCTGAACGACCTCGGAATTTTACCTGCGATCGCAGGTTTCAGACCCCGGATCGCAGAAAAATAAATGCGGGCGTTTTAAACGAAGCACAGCACAAAATTAAAAAAACCTGCGATTTCTGCGATTTTTGCGGTCAAACCGCTCCCGACGACCGCAGAGGCCGTACACAACAGCAGAGGCCGTAACAGCAGACACACATCCACCATGGCCGACCAAAACAGTGTGACACGGCGGGTATAAAGGCCCAGGAGGGTTGGGTCCCTTCCTTTACGGTTCCAGACGAGCGGGGAAGCAGTTGCTGCTGCCGGTTATGGGTAAGGACGGCCTCAAATGCCTCCTGCTGTGGGCATCAGCCCTCCGCCAGGCAGTTGGGTCCTCGCTTCTCCAAGTCTTCCACATGATCTTCCCAGACAAGATGTCGGGGATTGTAGACAGGTGCCCGCTGCTGCGGCACGTACAGCTCAGCGGCCTGTGCTCCTGCCGTTGCAACACCGACCGGGACAAGGAAGGCCATCACGGCGGCCTTGATCGCAGCAGTAGAAGTCGTATCATGGTCTCTTTGGTCGGAGCGCCGCAGTCGCCGCCTTTGCGGAGCCGTCTGTGAGGTTCCCCGAAGCTCCCGGCGCCTTCTATTGTCGGCCATGGACCCTAGCCTACTCTGGCGATCAGTTCTGGGGGTTAAAGTGCAGCTACGGGGGTGATACAGGTGGCTTGGTGTGCTGTGCCCGATCCAACGTGATGCTCTCAAGAGAATCGCAGAAATCGCAGGTTTGTACCTGCGATCGCAGAAAAGGAGCAGAGGTGATCTTTTTGGCCCTGCTCCCGACCTGCGATCGCAGATAAAAAGCCTCCATATTCGCAGGTAAAACCTGTGATCGCAGGTTTCGCAGTTTTTTTTTCGCCTGTTTAGGTCGACCCTTACTTGGTGAGGCAAGGACTGCTGTTGCACCCTTCATCTCGCGTCAAAATGCGACGGCAGGGACCGCAATTAACGGCGCGTTTTGGAAAGAAAAAACATCACCTGCCTGGGTGACCCCGACTCGTACGCCGTCTTTTTTATTTTGTTATCCAGTTTATTCTGGAGGGTTATCTTACGCATTATCAGCCTCACACCGGAGAAGGCGACACGGGAGTTTTTTCTCCGCTCTCTGTGCTTGCCTTGCTTAGTTGATAAATTAACCCTTGTCGCGGGAAGATTCAGCCGCTGGTCCTTTCCCTCGTCGACCGTAAAGTCAAATATTTGAGTACACACAGAGGTTATCGATCTCCACAACTCTCCTATCGCATGTTTGAGAAATGATGAAATAAATTCCCAGTGTTCGTGTGACCGCTGTGGCGAGATCAATCCCACGTCATCGTCAGCAGTCAGCTGGTGGGTGAGAGAAGGTCAAGGTTGTTGTTGTTGTTGTTGTTGTTGTTTTTCTTCACATTAACTCGTGCCAGTTGCTAATCCCAAAATCTAGCAAAGACTTAGTCCGTGGTCACAAAAATGCTAGAGCCATCAGA